AAGCAGGTTACGATAATAGTTCCTAACAGGTTTATGGACAACTTTTTCGTATACAAGGATGTTCCTCTACCTGACACAGAAGAGAAAGCCGGTGAAGAAGATGAGCTGCTACCATTCTACAGCGAGAGCGAAGCTGAAGACGATGACGATGACGAAGAAGTGAAAGTAGAGCCTGAGGAAAGACCTGAAATATCTGGTCCAATTCCAGATCGATCCAAGGCTTAATGGTCCATAATCAATGGCCAGTGGAGCCTATTTGGATCGCATTTACAGGAAAATTCAGGACCTACATGTCGGAAGGTATGAGCGCATAACGCGTACTATCTAGTGCGTTTAGCAGCCATAATGTTATTACACTCGTTATACAGTAGAGAGAAATTCGGACCTTGTTTGCTGAATTTTCTCCCTGCAACTTGTGCACCCCAATCCCTACGCAAACTTTGGTCCAATAGTCCAAAGTACACTCGAATCGCTCAAGACCAACATTCTCCCCAACCCCACTTCAACAGCCCTATCCAACGCTTCCTTTATCTCCTCATCCCTACCAACAACACTCGCAAGCCGCAACCTCACCGGTGCCTTCTCTTTATTACACCGTCTCGAAAACATGGCCACCGCATCCGATATCTCCTCCGCAATCTCCATGCTCGGCTCAGTAACAAGATCTGCACCCACATCCTCCGGATCGTCTGACGTGATCCCCAATTGTAACCATGCGATCATATCAAGCGGCTTTCTGCTGTCTTCTGGGTCAGAGAAGAAGAGTTTGGAGGATGTGCTAGTGCTGGATCGGCGTGTAGTTTTCGAGGTCGAGGAGTGGGTAGTGGAGAGGGCGGATGCACTCCTTGTGTTGCTGCGGGTAGTAGAGGGCGAGCGTGCAGCAACGATAGTGTCGTTATCACTGTCGCTAGAGATTGAGGCGTCGTCGTCTACCACAAAGTCGTCCAGTTCGTAGTCTTCGTTGCCCGAGTCGTATCTACTGTCGTGAGAAGCTTGTCTGTGCGTTATTATTCTTTCTATTGTGCTGTAGATGGATTCTGCAGGTGAAGAGGGTGATCTACTATCATATTCTTCATCATGGTCTTCTTCAGAATAAGTGTTGCTGTTTGTAGAGTCTTTTGATGTTGTCGAGGAGCGAGTAGTGCGCTTTGATGCCACGGATTTACGGGCTTTTGTGATATGCGCTGTTATTGCAGCTTCTAGAAGATCAAGATCTACTGAGGAAGTAGTTGACGATGAAATACCTCGCTCTTTCTTCTTAGTTGCGGTTTGCGGCTTGTTACGGGATGCGAGGCGCTGCGAACGACGTGGTGCAGTTGGTTTCGGCATGATGATGATAATGTAGAATGATAAACATTGAATTTGGGTTAACAGTTCATAATGATTTAAAAAGACCAACTTAAGATATATAGAAACCCTCTTTGTCCTTGACGAACAAAGACCAGACCGTAAGGTACCTGCATAGGTATAAAGGTAAGTAGAACGAGCCGTTGGATGTATGGGACATCCAAAGATATAACAATCTGATAACAACATGTTATTCTGAGTCGGTGACGGATAATTGAATGGTGTATACATGGATATCAGATGTATGTGGGCCTGGCACTTGTGTGGGTGGCATATCACATGACTGGATCCTTCACGCACATCACGTGACCAAATCACGTGAATAAAGGCTTTGAGATACATATGTATGTTTCAAGTTTATCGAGGCTCCATTCAATCCAATGATAACTTTCATATCAAATGTAGGGTTTTTTATGTGCAGAAAGGGGTTTGAGTTTAATGAAAAGCATACCAGCTTTTGTACAATTATGTATTAACGTCTTCTACCGAGCACGTACAAGGTATCTATTTCCTGTTTCACCCTACTTTCTGTTCCAATTATAAAATTTAGTTTCAATTATTTAGTTGAAAGAGCTTTAGCCTTCAGATTTCCGGTGAATTCGACCCGCCCACAGTGCAAAAATCTAAAATCATTGATTCCTATAGCCGATTGATGCGGGTAGAGATGAGAGTTTGGATCTCCATAGCCATCCTACCTAGTAAATGTGAGTTTGCGTATCCTCAGCAACATATCGGCATAACATATCTTCACCATATAAAATACTATTAATAAGACAACACGAATGTTTTGCCGAAACATATTTACTCCTCGGCTTTTGCTCTATCTGTATCGCTTTCATTCTACTTGGTCTCCAACGTACATAACATTAGCTTGCCCCACTGTTTGGCATAGGTCTAAGCCATAAAAGTAATAAAAATAGCCTATTCTAAGGGAGCATTTAATATACCTTCCTAATTCCAGTGTGTACGCTCCTTGCCAAGGGCGTTTCTGAGTGATATTGCACCTTGTGTCGATACCGTGAGTGATTATCAATCCTTGCGATGGTTAAACAAATCTTATACCTTCCTAATTATCCCTAAGATTGTTAGATACACCCCTGTGCGGTCGCGCGAGCTAACAGTTATATGTCGGAGACGTAGTACATGCCCACGATTTCCAGATCTTCCCTTCCGCTTGAATTACTCGTTTTCACCAAAACATTGATATTTCTATGAAATCATACCCGATGGTTCAATTATTGAGGGGTTAGTTTATGTCTTTTACTGGCGGCGAGCAAAACTGCTCATTCACTTCGTTCAATCAGACATGGGACTTCAAAGGTAACCTCGGCGTTATGCTTACCGTCGTGTGATCATATCATCCTGTAGAATGAGGCAAGGTAAAAGACCGGAACTACTATCTCGACATTAGCTAGTGTGGGGGTGCCGGAAGCTTATGCAAGACTTCTTCGCTCTTCATCTAACATATACTTATTATCCAGATATCCTATTCGACGAAGATATTCGGAGGACCTGAACAATCCCTGCTATTCGCTTATTTTCGGCTCCATTGGTAGGGATAAGCCGGTAGCGTTCCCGTTTTATCAAGAAATCAATGCTTAGGTTTTGGGGCTGCAGCGGGGTAGAACTGCAACATTTGAGTTGGACCACATAGGCCGCCGACCCCTCCGGAGAAGGTGATGATAAGATGAACACTATAGGTCATCGACGAGAAGTGCTATGACGTGGCATTAAATGGCCGGATATCTTTTAAACGAAGGCCGTGCCTATCGTCAACGTCACAAACGCCAAGATAGGTGTTGTCCGCTGCAGCCAGGGTCTCGAAGGAGCACTTGAGATGTTCAAGTACCAAAGCTGCGCCGGCTACACGTAGACATCCCAATTGAACACCATGATTTTGTCCATGTTAGAATCAAGCGCTGCCTTCGCATTATTACACAAATATTATAGCTACTTCTGGCACCTATCTGGTTACCCCTCTTCCAACGTTCAATCCGCCTGCCCAGCTAACCACTGATAACGCACGCTGAACACCGAATTGCAACACCACATCGCCTGATCCGAGTAACAAAACCAAAAACGAAGTATGTTCATCTCAAAGAGGAGCAAAAGCACAGCTAACCCTATTCACAGATGTGTCAAAACGTACGGGCGATTTTCGCTTGCTCCCAGTGGCATGCCAGACTAGGCGACGAGCCTACACGCATCAAACACATCGCACATTGTCGGGCAGCAGTGAGCAGGGGACGAAGCTGCCCGAAGTTTCTTAGGACCGATGATCATGTTCTTCAGGAAGACGAGCCCGATGAATACTGTCCGGAGTGCAAAAGGGAAACCCCGCCGGAGACGCCTTAGTGAAGACCATTGTTTTTATCATTTCCTGGCTTTTGTGACTTATATGGCCTTTCTACACACCCTTCTTTCTCTTCTAGCCCTCCACGGTCGTTCCCGAACATAAATGTATCGCTTGTTCAACAATGGGTAAGAATATGCGAGAATACTGCCCCTGGTGATGACTAACCAGATTGACTAAAATTCCGAATTATAACAGGCTATCTTCAGGCAATTATTTACTGACATCCGGATCCAAGTGAGCGACTACGCAAAGCGGTCTTTCTCAGATTCAGACGTTTCAGTGACAGAGAAATCATTCTATAGGAACACCCTCCTTTCACAGTGCGACTTGATAGAATATATTTCGACCAATACCAAAGCATCCAACGAAAGGAGCGACACTGAATAAAAGATAACGATCACGGACGGTAGTCCAACTTGGTGTTCTTCCAGTCGTTCATAGCCCAACCAGTGTACGGCGAGGCTGTGGTGCATGATCGGGCGATTGCCTGCAGGACTGGAATTGGTGGCGGGCTTAGGTTGTCTCGGTGGCTCCACTTATGGTGTGATCATCATGTACCCCGACTGCGAGGTCAAACTTTTGCCATCGTCGGATATAAATGGTGGAAACTCAGCACTCTTTACGTCTTGCCCACCATACCAAACCTAGTTGTCTCATTCGTGGGGTCGGAGGATCGGACGCCGAGGCATGCATAACTATTATTGTTATCAATGTCACAGCTGAACTGGTTACGAAGCTGATTGACGAGCGCAAAGTAATCAAGGTTCAATATTTCCCACTTCCTTCCGGTTTTCAATATTTCTCGCGTGGAGACATGAAATTTTCATCGATCTACTTATATAGGGTATGAGTAGCGAATACGCGGTTATCCCCGTGACTCACAGCTCCCTCTCGTTGGTAAATAGGTACTCAGAGTCGAATTGTTAGGAAGAATGATCCTAGCTTTCCAAAACAATGGTAACAAAAACGTACAACATAAAGGCGGGCCGGCCCACGCCCACCTATATTAGCAAAAATGTTTTTCATATGTATACACGGACCGACCAGCGCTCACTGCGCAGCCTCATCCTCAACCAGCATCAAAAGAAAATCCATCGGCAATAATATTGATTAGATAATTTCAAAACCCATGATTCAATTTGATGCCTTTGAGCGCCGTAGTATCATACATACACGCAGTTCCGCTCTCAACACAGGCTCTCAAGGAATAACGGCTATGAAATGGGTACCGGCAGATATGTAGAGCACGCCCCCAAAAACTCCCAAAAACTCCGACAAAAAGAAATAAAGAAACCCTTTCCGATGCCGGGGTTTGAACTGCGCCTCTTCGTTAGTTCCTAATTTTTTATGTTTGAGGAGAATGCATACCCCGGGTCGTCTGAGAATTCTCACGTCTCGAGTTGGTGAAAATCAGAAATCCTAACCACTGGACCACATCGGATGTTTTTGATGGGATTTGTTGCAAACATCCTGTGCTATATACGAATCAAAAATGAGTGCGACAAGAAACGGTGGAAAGGATAGAAGCGAGAGGTAGTACGTAGTGGTGGTAGGTGAACGTGCGAGGTAAAGCAAATCAAGGCGGGTTTGTGCGTGAGGCGGTGTGATGGGACTTGTGTTACACGATTGTGCTATCTTAGTAGGGGAATAAGGTGAGTACCACATGTACAGTCTAAGAGGCTGGATTCTAGTTGCCTTCACCAAAACTATGATATAATACAGGGAGGAAAATGTTTTGGGGCAGAGTATGGAGAATGGAAAACGGAGCTGTGTAACACGTCTCTTTGAACTGAACTCCAATCCCATCGTGATATTTTATGACAGCTCCATTGCAATTGGTACCTAGCAATCACCCGATTCACAAATCCCGAAAATGTTGCTCAACAGCTACGCCATCCAACTATCTCCACATTATCAAATAGCAGTCTATTCGAATTTCGCAGGATTATACGCACCCCGAACCAGAACAAACAGGCAGAAACGTATGACCTTACTTTCCCAAGCTAAAATAGAAAAAGTGGAGTCCAAAAGATTAATGCTAGATATGACCCTTCTCTATCCACAAATCTCCCTCTCCCTAACATCGCCATTAAATTCCGCACGGAAATACGAAATCTGCACATCATCCCAAACTCCCCTGCAAAGGATCTCGAAAGAACCTTCCACGAACCTTGCACGCGACCAACCTTCCATGCACCCTTTCGACACCACCAACCCCACATCAGCCTCCTACGTCACAGAAACGCTTGGCATCCCACCCATACCAAACCTACGTGCTCGACAACCGGGGAAACTCAAAAGTTAAAAATGGGACTACAGTGGGTAACCATTCCAGAAGCGAAATAGTTTCAAATGTTTATATTGACAACATGGTAAATCGGGCCTGTTCTGTGGTGGCGATCACTATGGGCTTATTGGTGTTTTGGTTTGGGGAAGTGGTGGACATGTTGCAGCGCAGTTTTCGAGTGCATTTTTTCATGGTAGGGTCAACTTGATGTTTTTTCTTCCATTACTCTCGTACGGGAAGGAATTTTGTTGTGGTATTTTCAATCTGCTATTATGCAAGGCATCACGCAATTCTCGATGCTCACCAGCTGTTAAGCAAACTCGGCTTCCCCCCCTCCCAAATAGTGCACATCCTCGCCACATTACAGGTATTAATTGATATAAAAATCTCCAGCCCCCCAATCAGTATTTTCGTGGATTTCATCATCGGACTCAATGATTTCGTACCAGCCAAGAGCATCAGTTAACTTTAATAACCACCTTTCCGTTCTCCTCTCCACGAACCTTCCAAACTCCAAATTCCCGCTGATCATTGGTTCCGCAACTGGGATGGTCAAGACACAGTGGGTTGTTTCAGTGGGTTGTTTAAGGATTCCAGTTTTTGATCGGATGGAGACTAGTTTACGCGAACAAAGTTAACTTAATTCGACCAAGGGTGATTCAATGGGTGATGAAGGTCTCAAAAGCTACACTACATATGGCAGCTTTGACTCATCTTCTCAGCAACTCTGTGCACATGTCACCTGTAGCGACGGAGATATTATATAACGTAACCGGCATACGAGTCGATCAGGCATACGAGTCGATCACTCTGCCAAGACCACACCAAAAACACGACCTTTAATAAAGAATCACAACACCAGCTTGTATTGGGGCATCTAGAAAACTTTCCTAATAACCCCCCTAGCTCCTACGCGTCTTTTTGACAGGTGCGCGAGTTGTGCCCAGTCTCGCCGCAGGTTTTACAGTGCCTTTGAGAGGGACCAGCCTCTCCCGTGCGCACCTTCTTTGACGCCTTCTTCCCATTACTACGCACCC